GGGGGATTACGACTCTTCATTTTAGTAAGCTTTTTCCCTTTTTTGTGTTGTTTGTTGGTTGGTTGGTTGATTTGCTTGCGTTTTTCTAATTTACTTTTAGTAATATAGGTGTGTCTACGACACCACCAACACAATTTAGATAATTAGAAAGCAGGCTTCAGACTATCTTACTGGGGCAACCTGAGCTGAAAGGAATACAGCCTCAAAAACAATGACAATACAATAATACAGAAATAGTACGATGAGGGGAGTTGTCGCTATTCCACGCGCGCAGGTTCAATTGTACTCTTGAATTTTAAATACTTGAATTTTGTAGGGTCTAGAAAGGTTTCATTTTTACCAATGTGAGGCATCGAGGGGAAATCAGGGGTTCGTCAAAATAATGATGTTAGAGAAATCGAAATTGCTTATCTTGTTTTGGCAATTTCATCGATGTTCTTATTTCCCCTCAACACATTTTCCGTTCATAATAGATTTTACTGGAAAGAACGTTTGTCTAGGGCACCAAAGAAAAAATGTGCAGTTTCTAAAGACACGTTACTTTTGGATGTCACTATATTTGGCAGCTATTATTTTTGCTCAACTTACCTTTGACTCCAGGCGACCCACACATTCTTCAATCGCAAAATACTTCAACTTCTATTCAAAATAGATGTGTATTTCTTAACATCAAAAGGAAGACAACAAATGAATATTTTTTTATAATACACAATTGATTCCATATGCTCAAAAAAATTAATTAGGTCGTAGTAATTAGGCTTCTTCTTCTTCTTCTTCTATCCCGAGGTAGGGCCAACTGTTGGGGCACCACTGCATCTGCAAACCAGCTCTCGCCATCTATTTTTGTCCTCTGCTTTCCTCAGATTGTCACCCATCGTCTTTCCTGTCCACTCAGTAATGTTGTCCTCCCATCTCCTTCTCTGCCGAAACAGTGAGGATGTAGGTTGGGGAGTTTAGGTCTCAGTTCGGTCCAACATTGTGTCCTTGAGAAAGGCACTTCATATCAATGTCGCCTTTAGTTCAGTCCTCAGGGATGTTAACCCTGTATCATTTCACCATTGTCCGCCCCAAAATTAACGAGCACCTGATTACACCATGTCGTGACACACAACAGCTCTAGAACTACAAAGTTTGTCCTCAGTACCTCGTTTTGAGAGATTTGGCGTCAAATGTTTCGAGTTTTACAACATGGCTAGCGTTTTCGAATGCAGTTCTTTAAATATCTTGATTGCGGCTCTGAGTAATCTTACAATTTTGATAGAGCAGATAAAACATTTGGTTTCTGACCTCATGGTCTTAGCAACTCAGAACGGCCAAAAATGTCAGATAGAACTTTGTAGTTCTAAGGTAGCGTCCTGGGTATCAAATATTCAAATTTTGTTCTGACTAGAGTGGTATCACGTCTACTCAATTAGAGTGTGGCTGGTGGGCGGTTGCTTTAATGTGGGTAATTCCTTCTCTCCTGTCAAACATCTATCAGCATTATCTCTCTTACTTCTTTTCTTTGTATTTTACTCTCATGTTACGCCTCTAATCTTGGCCACCATAACATATCAACATATAATCATTGTCAGTCCAAATTCTTTTCTTTTTTATGTTACTCTCTAGCTCCCCCTCTAATCTTGGCAATTATGAATATCATTATAATGTTATAACATAAAAATAAATAATTGTCAATTCTCCTTCTTTTCTTTTTAACACTACTCTCTAATTACACCGCTTATTTTATATTATCAATATAATACAATAATCATCGTCACTCCTCCTTTTCCTTTTATGTTACTAACTAGTCTCACCTCTGACCTTGGTCACTTATAATCCTCCCCAGATCGAAGAGACAGCTCCGCAGAGAGAAAACATACTTCCAAAGTTCCCACGCTACAGCGGCAAAGTTCACACGGGGACGCCTCTAAGGAGAAGAACCAGTCGTCGACAGCGAAGAAAAACGACAAGGGCGACAAGACAAGTGACGAGAACGACGATGACGATGATGGCGATATTTTGGTGGTCACTCCTCGTCCTCACAGGTAAAACGATAAATGTTTTGCTTATATATGCCTATACATGTAATATATGTTGCAGTATGTAATATAAAATGTGAGGCATCGTTGTGAAATTAGGCGCTCGACAAAATAATCTGAATAAGATTAATAGATTTTTTCCGCCTGTTGGGCAATTTTTTTCCATAAAAAGAAATGCCCAACACCTTTTATATCCATTTATACATACACCAGGAACCCCCTATCTTCTTCAATTACCTCCTTCAAATGTCTCGACTTCTATTCAAGATAGATGGGGAGATTTTCCATCAAACTCCAGGAAAATGAAGAGGTTATAAGATGATAGCAATAACTCCATTAGTTTGCCCCAAAATTGACCAGCGCCTAATACCACTTCGTCTGGACGCTTAGTATTTTTAGTCTAAGACATAGCCTAATTGTTTTATTATGTGCATCACGTGACAGGAACAGATTTGACGAAGAGATGGATAATGCGATGGTCGTTGTCGAAAATGGAGAAAACATTGAGAGACTTCGTCTTCCCTCCTTGGAAGAGGAGGAGGACGAGGATGAGGAGGAGGAAGAGGGAGACAGGATAGGAGACAAAGATGAGGATACAGATGAGGACAAGAGGAAAAGTGAAAGGATGGAAGGAGGGAGGCAGAGACCAGCTGACAGGTCGATACCTTCGCCGAGAAAGAGGGATGGGGATTCTGTGGTGAGGAAAAGAGTTTCATTTTTTTTACTGTTTATGTTTGTGTAAGTGGGGGAGGGGGGAGGGGCGTGATGAGCGTTTTTGTATGTGTGCACGCATTTAAATATGTGTGTGAGTGCATGTATTTGAGTGTGTGTGTGTGTGTGTGTGTGTGTGTGTGTGTGTGTGTGTGCGCGCGCGTGGGAGGGGGGGGGATTTTATTTCTTTATATTCGTCAGTTACGTTGAGTGTGTAACCTTACTTTGAGAGTTACTGTCCGTTCTTTTGTCCTCAGAGATTAGAAGATGAAGAAGAGATTGTGAAAAGATTTCTGAGCCGGGAGGAAAGTTGTGCCTCCTCTCTTGTGCAGCAGGTAAATTCTTTATTACTTCCTTTGTCATACAACGATCTCGTTTTGCTGTCTTTCTCTTCCTCTCCTTCTCCACCTCTTCCTCTGTCTCTCCTTCCCCTTTTGGTCTTTCTATTTCCCTTCATATATCTCTTTCTCTCTCTCTCTCTCTCTCTCTCTCTCTCTCTCTCTCTCTCTCTCTCTCTCTCTTTCTCTCTTTCTCTATTTCTCCCACTTCTCCCTCTCTCCGGCTCTCCCTTCCCCCCTCTACTTATACTCCTTTTTTAATACGTCTAGTCCCTATTCGTTCTAAAGCTAACATTACGTGTCCCCAACTCGCAGTTTTACGTCACATGGCAAACGTACATTTTAATCCCTTATTCTTGGAATAAAAAATTTCAACAGCTACAGATAGTTTCAATGAAATGAGCTGTTCCCAAACCAGAAAAATAGAAAAATCTTAATGACTTACTGATACTTAC